CCATACCTTTCGACGAGGGGTCTCTGCAGATCATACGGCCAGTGACGGTATGCGATTCCACATCCGATCGATCGTTTGATCCGCATTCAAATTACACATTTGAGTCATTTATTGCACGTTATGGATGTCAGATAAGTCTCATGCTATGATTCTAACCTCCCACCCGCTTCACCTGCTTCATCCTTCTTTATCGTCACTTTTGCATGTCTCGCTATATGCAGATAGTATGCGCAATTTACGGCTCCCCTTTACACTATCCCTGGTTTTGCCCTAACCTCTGGCCACCTCAGGCCACGTAATTGTACACAGACGGGTTGATGTCGTCCCGACAGAGGTAGTCACGCTCGATTAGGCTCTCCACTCGCCTTTTCACATCCACCGGCACCACTGAAAATTTAAGCTGTCCGAACAACTCACTCAACAACAAGTTGTGCGACAATTTCTTGCGGGCTTTCATAATCCTCACGATCGCTGCGTCGATTTGGTACTGCCTGTCCCTGTGCACCTCGGCGTGAGTTTTGTCGTTCTCTTCCACCGTTTCCTTCAGCTGGATGGTATTTATCTTGATGCGGTACAGCTTGTGGGTGAAGCCCGCATTCAAGCTGAAGACATCGTTGTCCTCCACGTCCTTGCCCTTGGGCTCCTTCTGTAAGACCCGCTGATTGATCTTCCCGCACGCCAAAGATTGCAATGTCCGCCGGAGCTCCCCATCCTCAATCCGCGTTGCTGCTTTGATGTCCGTGAAGGCCACCCGCGGGGACTCCCCGTCATTGAAGCACAAGAGCACAATGGCCTGGAAAAAGGAGACGGAGAGCTCTTTGGTCCCCAGGGGGAATCTCGCTTTAATAACGCAGGTGCCCAGCGAGTGCTGCCATACGAGCCGGCGACCCTGGTACTTCCCCGTGTAGTAGGCCGAGAAGCGGGCCATGTGTGGCTCCAAGACGGGCGGGACAACCACATCGCTCGATGGGTAGGCCGGCCAATACCCGGTGGTGAGCACGTGCACACTCGTCTCCACCTCCCTCCCGCCCGCCTTCTCCCCGGCGGCCGTCGTCCCCAGAAACTGGGCGTAGTTCCCCATCAGCTCTCGAGACAGATCCATGTCCTTGAACATTCCCTCGAACTTGTTGGTGAAGGTGGCGCCACACTCCGCCTTGAGCTTGGCCACCATGCTCCTCTCCAAATCTGCCGAGGCGCTCCGGCCCAAGAGCAAGCGCTTGGCTAGATCCTTCTTGTAGAAGGCCTCGAAGACGTCTTTGGACCCCACGTAGCGGAAGAGGACCATGATCCTGTCCAACAGCCCCTCCATCTCTCCCTCGCTCACGCCTTTCTCTCCCTTCAGTTTCGCGTCCAGGAACTTGGCGAGAAGCTCCGCTGGCCGGCTCGGCCGCACGTTCAGAGCGAACTCAAAGCCATCTTTCATGGCGGCCAGACAGGCGGGATTCGAGCGCCCGCCCAGCGCCTCCGACAAGATCACGTCACACTTGTCCTTGAAAGCCAGAAGGTCCTCGATCATCTCCTTTTCGCGCGCGTCGTCCCCTACCAGCTCCCCTCCCCTTCGGCGGATGTACGCATTGAAAGCCGCCTTCAGCTCCTCCGCGCCCCCCGGTTTCCGGCACGCGAGTTGGTACAATCGCCGAACGTCCTCCACACGCTGCGCATCCATCAGGGGGGTCAAGCCCTTGTCGATCAGGGCCGTGACGTGAGGGGCCAAGAGCCTTGACTCCACGGCTGTGATCAGGGCTTTGCGGGTGCCCGGCTCCAGATAGTGCACCACGGACTCCTCCGCCTCCCCCAAGCGGCGCTCCACGTGCAGGAGGAAGGCCACCACGTCCAGACTCTCCATCTTCTTCGTTCCTTCCACAGCGAAGTACCGCTCTGTATCCTCCAAGAAGGCCCTCAAGAAGAGGGGCTTGTAGAGACCCAAGCTTCCCAGCATCCTCACCAACGACCGCAGCAAGGCTAGATTGACCGCCTCCCCATTACGCTGCCGCTCCATCACCCTCAACATCCCCTTGACGATCTTTATGTCCAATCCTGTATTTCCAGCCACCCCTCCTTCGCCCGCTCCCGCGGCTGCGGCTTGGACTCCCCCCGCCGCCCCCGGTCGCTGTAGCCCCCTCCCTTGCGCCGCCAGCTCCAGTCGAAAAAGGGTCAGGCCCATGTCCCAGATCGGTTGCAGCGCCGAGGTCTGCATCACGAAACTCCGATCCATGTACAAAAAGATGTTCCGGATGGTAAGCATGTGCTCGCAGTGGTCCTGCCACACGTCGTCCACTTTGGCCAAGAACAAAGCCGGATCCATGAAGCCCTCCACGCCCCCCGATGCCAGGGTCCCCACCACTGCAGCCACGTGTCGGGCACATTCCATGCGCAGACGGTCGTACAACCGGGCCCCCATTTTGTGTACGCATAAATTTTCCACGGCCCTGTAAAGTTCCTCGTAGCTGATAGCTACTGCAGTCTTGCTTTGCACCGCCACCACGGCCTGTCTCAGAACCTCCCAGGTCGCATCTTCAAAGTTTTCCGGTAGCTTTGGTTGGACTTTAAACGGTCGAATCACCATTTTCTTATTCGATCCCCCTGCGGCCCCATTGTTGCCGCGGTTGTTGCCTTGGACAGTCGCATTTCGGCTGGACATGACTAAGCCTGCCGGCCGCGATTGCGAGGAGGACGCCGCCGCCGACATCCCGCTTGATGATTAATGCTTCGAGAAGCGTCTGAACGCTACAGAAAACAATCTACCTAGAATGTAATCAATGGGGGGAAGTGAGGTCGGAGAAGAGCTAAGACAAGAATTATCAGGTCCTCATTACGAGAAAGTCTCCGCAGCCAAATCTTCTTTTGAGTGCTTTCTATGGTATCACAGAGCAGCATATGTAGAGCGTTCCACAATTGCCTATCAAGTTACGGGGTAGGACGCAGTCCTCCATAAGAGCAGCAAGGCCTTTCTATGTTGCGCTTGCCTCCCCGTTCCTGCTCTCCGCTTCGATAGGTCTATGCGTCCAAGATTTACACAGGTCTGTGGCAGCGATGACGCCATCCTTGTTCGTCGCCCCAATGGCTCTCAAGCGCCCTTGACCCTCAATCCTCTTGGTGTGTGCAATGAACCAACATAAGCTTTTCGCAGTTTCTTGTGTTTGCAAGAGATCCAATTGGGTAATGCGCGTTTAGTGACAGTGTGAAGTGCCGAGCTGAGGACCGTGATGAACTTACGGCAGCCACTGATGCTTCTATCGCCTCCTACTCGCTTCTCTTTTGACGGACACACCTTATTTACACCTCGTTTTTAAAATTAGATTTGTGCACATACGTACAGCATTATGGCTGCCGCACGACCCCAGGTCTCCGTCTACAATGTTGAAGGTGCTTCCGTGGCGGAAGTACCCCTTCCCGCCGTGCTCACGGTGAGTGAAGACAAGAGAAAGAGGAATGTGGATGGTGGCGAGTCCACTTCTTACTAGTTGTGCGTCGATCATACGTAATGTATGGTTTAACTTGTTCATAATCTATAATTGCAACGATTCCTTTCATGCGCTTGGAAGAGTTATGCCTCTCCGCGCTTTTTTTACGGCTTTTTATCAAGCACGCTCCTCTATGTCTTGTATGGCGCTTCTTTATTGAGACTTGTGATGAAAAATTCACGGTCTCTTTGCTTGCATGCGAGTGTGCTACCATGACATGCCGTGCCAATTGTCAAACCTCCCGTACTTTATCCTCCCTTGGCCCCAGGCTCCCATCCGTCCCGACGTGGTCAATTTCGTCTTCACCGGTCTGAACAAGAACCACCGCCAGCCCTACGCCGTATCCGAGAAGGCTGGCCACCAAACCTCAGCCGAATCGTGGGGCACAGGTCGTGCCGTGGCACGAATCCCCCGTGTGGGTGGAGGCGGCACCCAACGGTCCGGGCAAGGTGCCTTCGGGAACATGTGCCGGAGCGGACGCATGTTCGCACCTACGAAGATCTGGCGCCGCTGGCACCGCAAGATCAACATCACCCAGAAGCGGTATGCCGTGGCTTCGGCGCTGGCGGCTTCGGCCGTGCCGGCGTTGGTCATGGCCCGCGGCCACCGGGTGGATGGAGTGGCGGAGATCCCTTTCGTGTTGGACGAATCCTTCGCCAAGGTGGACAAGACGGCGCAGGCGGTCAAGGTCTTGGGCGCCCTGGGTGTGGGCCCGGAGCTGGACAAGAGCAAGGACTCGAAGAAGATCCGCTCTGGGAAAGGGAAGATGCGAAACCGGCGGTACGTTCTGCGCCGAGGCCCCCTGGTCATCTACTCAACAGGGGAGGAAGGAGTGGTCAAGGCCGTGCGCAACATCGTGGGGGTGGAGGCCGCCCATGTGGACCGACTGAACCTGCTCCAGCTGGCCCCCGGAGGCCACTTGGGTCGCTTTTGCATCTGGACTCGGGGTGCGTTCGAGCGCTTGGACGCCGTCTTCGGGACGCAGACGGAGAAGAGCCAAGTCAAGCTCGACTACGTGCTGCCCCGCGCCCCCATGGCCAACGCAGACTTGGCCCGTATCATCAACAGCGAGGAGGTGCAATCCGTGGTGCGACCTGCGGTGACAGAGACGGTGCGGCTGCCCCGCAAGAAGAACCCACTCAAGAACCTCGCCGCCATGGTCCGTATGAATCCTTACGTGCTGGTGCACCGTCGTCAAGAGCTTAAGCGCATGGCCGCTGCGGCTGGCGCGAAGAAAGGAGGGAAGGAGAAGGAGGAGAAGAAGGCGAGGAAGGCGGCGGGTCGGGCTTTCTACGAGCAGGCCTCTAAGGAAGGGGATATCAAGTTCTAAGCGGGGCGGGGGGATGGGTGGGGGGGAGACAAGGACTGGTGGGCGGTAGGCAGTGATGTAAGACGAGGAGGTGAGGCTTCGACGAACGTGCCCCTGCCTCATAATGGTCACGTCTAGCCAGGTCACCTCGTCTCAAAAGAGGGCCCCGTGCATCAAAAGGAATGAAAGGATTTCTCAGGCACGTGTCAGGAGCGTGAGTCCTAGAGCATTCGCCAGTATCTAGTTTCTGTGACATCGCTCCGTCCGAGCCGATCCCTCATTCTCTTCGAAACGCGTGCCCGCTTCTTCCTCCATGCTACCGACCCTTGATCCCTTCGCCCGATGTAAATCGGTCGACAAACCTGACTACATCTTCCTTGAACTCCCCTTTCCACGTGGGGACGAAATGCCCCCCTCCATGCTCATGCAATGTGATCCACCCCTTCTCCGCCTCGTCCCAACACGCCATCAGCTCCCTGGTCCGCGTCAGTGGCACCAGTTGATCCGCCGCGCCCCCCACAAACATCGTCGGGAGCCTGGGCGCACCCTCCTTCACGCCCTGTCCCACTGCCTCGTCCCGGGGGAAGAAACCGCCCACCAAGATCGCAAATTTTGGCAGGCTTACCCCCTCCTTCTGCCCTTTCCCCTCCCTTTCGTCTCTTTGCAGGGCCGCGAGGAGGATCGCCGCCGCCGTCGCTCCTTGCGAGAATGCCAAGAGACCGTCGGGCGCGTGCTCGGCCAGGGCCTGCTTGAGGAAGGGAATCGTCGTCTCTGCCACTCCCGTGTAGTGCAACGCTTTGCTAGGGCGAGGCTGCAGCGACCCCTCGGGCGTTTGGTCGG